CCTCCACCTCCTCCTCCTCCTCCTCATCCTCCCCCATCTCCTCTTTCCATGCCCGTCCTCCCCGCTCCTCCATCCCCTTTCTCCTCGCCCACCTCCTCCTCTGCTTCGTCATCCTTCCCCACGGGCACTTCCTCCTCCTCCTCCCGTCCTCCTCCTCCCGTCCTCCCCCTCTTCCTCCCCTTTCCCGTCAGGCTCTCCTCCCCCTCCTTCCCCTCCTCCTCTACCATCTCTGCGCCCCAGAAGAGAGGGAGAAAAAGGGATCATTAGAAAAACAGCGAGGGTTAATAGCAAAAATATTGCTGTTTCGGAGTTCGGCAGCAAAAATGTCGTCCGTTCGAAGTTTCCTTTGCAAAAATAGAGGTTTCGTTGCAGCTTTATCGGGTTCCCATAGTTTGCCAGCTAAAATAAAAATACAGCGTTTTGCCCAGTTTCACAGCGAAGGACCCCTAGGCCTCTGGCCTCAGGGACTCAGGGACTCAGGGACTCAGCGTTCTGGCCTGAGGCACGCGGCCTTTTTTTTTTTTTTTTTTTTTTCCGGGCATGGCCGACACATCTGGGCGTGCCCATGGCCGAGATGCCTCGGCCATGGCCGCGAAAAAAAAAAAACCATCCCGGCTTGGCCACGGCTGAGATGCCTGGACCACGCCCGTGGAAAAAAATAATAATAATAATAAAAATAAAAAATAAAATGAGAATAGCTGAGTGCCTGGGGCTGGAACGCTGAGTCCCTGAGTCCCTGAGGCCAGGGGCCTAGGAGTCCTTGGCTGTGAAACTTGGCAGAACGCGGTATTTTAGCTGGCAAACTACAGGAACCCGATAAATCTGCAACAAAACCTCTATTTTTGGAAAGCAAACTTCGAACGGACGACATTTTTGCTGCCAAACTTTGAAACAGCAATATTTTTGAAATTAACCCAAACAGCCATGATAGCTCAGTTGGTAAGGAGTTCAAGCCGCACTCAGGAGGTCGTGGGTCGTGGGCTCAATTCCCATTACCCCCACTATAGTGGCTGTGGCACGCTTGGCGTCTTACCTTCGAGAAGGTCAGTTGGTAAGCAAGTACGTCAGTGGCAGAGCTCCGGTGTTGCAACGGGGAGGTTGCGGGTTCGATTTTGTCAGCCTACAATTTCCCCCGACCACAATTGGTTGGCGTAGTTGCCCCCCGCCTGGCATAGCGCCCTTACAGACTAACCACCTCAATAGCCCGGTGGGTAGAGCTCTAATATTGTAACTTGGAGGTCCCGAGTTCAACTCAATACTATGCTCATTCATCGTGTCTATATATAATGTTCGTCATATCAGCTAAGGATGATCTTCTGGACGGATTTGGGTGGGGACGTGTGTGCCTTTCCTACGGGAGAGTTGACGAGCCTCAGGGACGAATGCTACTCTCTGGGGTAGGAGAGTGGTAAGGGGTTTGTTTGGGTGCATGGTGATACCATGGCAGTCCTTTGGTGGGCAGGGGTGCCTTGTCGGGAAACCAATGCAGAATTAAGAGGTGTGTCCTACTCTCCATGTCAGCAGACCCATTCTGGGGTGGTGGGCTATCAGAGGTGGTCGGGGTTAGTTGACGAGGGTTGAGGTCTCCACCATTACCACTAAGTTGATTCTCCCTACTAGTCCCTAGCGAACAGACATAAGCAAGGCTCATTAGTAGCAGAAAGCAACCACGTACATCCATACAGACTACGATTTCACACTACCTTACAGAAAGCAACCACATACGTCCATACAGACTATGATATGACACTAGCTCACATAACAACCAGCATTATGATATTCAACAACCCACAGTAGCCATTTATGAACCGCGCCGTGCTGGGTTGGTACTTAGAGGTAGGGGCCTCATGGTTTAGACCTTGGTTAGACGATCATTAGACACTGCCTATAACTGCCCTCACTGCTCATGGGACTAGTTAAGAACTACGTGCCTAGCTCCCGAGGTTCCCGTATAACGAGGCTTGTACGCTAGTGCCTCAACTGGGGCTGTATGGGGGAGCTCATTCAGCATCAGTGCCCGCGTCTGCTGTCTGGTCAGGTTGCTCCAGTAGAGCATGATGTTCCTCGCATGAGGTAAGATAGAAATGGAGTGAGGGTGCACCAGGAGATATATAGAGAGGAGTGGTAGGATGGGAGTCTCGTGAGTAAGTGTTAAAAAAAAAGAAAAAAGAATAAAAAAACAAGGTAAAAAAAAAAAACAAAAAAAAAAAACAGCGATGAGTTCAGAAAAGAGCCGTTTCAGTTTTGCCGCCCCAGAAAACTTTTTTAAAGGGCTAATTCTTGTAAGCCCAAGCAATTCAATTATACGAGGACATTGTGGAAGAGAACTCCTGCAACTCTCTAACTGTGCAAATGAATCTTCCTGGAGAAAGAGGCAAGACACATTCTCATTTTGCGCATTCCCGTTGTGGTGGGCCTCCCTCTCTCTCTCTCTCTCTCTCTCTCTCTCTCTCTCTCTCTCTCTCTCTCTCTCTCTCTCTCTCTCTCTCTCTC